TTCGGGAAGTACGATTTAACACCTGAAAAGCGAAGATATTTTCCAAAGGATTTGAATTTACACAAGCTTTGCAATGCATTTTTAGGAGAAAAGACCGTACATTGTAGGGATTTTTCAATTCCGATTACGTACCTATATTTCTTGCGTTATCGCCACGGTATTTATTCAGCACGTTACTTTGCCGAATTGGTTTGAAAGTAGTTGTTGGCAATATTCTCTTCTTCACTTTTGGCGAGTTTCTAAATGAAAACGAGGCAGAGCTTTCCAGGGATAATGATGATATTTGAGTGTCGTAAAGTATATAAAGAATGTTCGTTGCACACGAACTTATAAGAAAGGCCCTCGGAGTATTTTAGGGCATTTTGTCTTCTTACGTATTCCGCGTAGCTGAAAAGGGTGCTGGGCACTCAATATTCAAAAAGGTATCAGGGACTGTTGAGCTCCTTTTAGGACCTCCAAGTTCTTGCGCAAAAAATTCAGAGATTGAAGGGGGAGAAAAAATCCAAGCACTTTGAGAAATATTTTGTTCTGCAAATGTTGAAGCAACTTACTCGTCTCAGCTTGGAACTATCATCGTCGTATGCGTCACGCAGGAAGGATGCAGACTTGTCACTGCTATTCATGCCTGCGAAAAAAAGCAAAATTATAAAAGCAAAACCGTGGTGTAGTAAGCGCATTGCTTGTCAGCCCCATTACTTTGCGGCAGCGTCCACCAGCGTTCCAAGCGTCCAGCAGCGTCAGCGGCTAGAAGAGTATAGATATTGATCTCAGCGCCTGCTATCGTCTTTCAGCGCCTCGAGGGCTAGGGAAGTATAAGTATCGTCTAGCGTCTGCCAGCGTCTACCAGCGATCAGCAGCGTCTGGGAGTGGAGAGTATGGGGCGATAGGAGGGTAGCAGACAGCTGGTACCCTCCTATCGCCCCATACTGTTTTCTGCCGCACGCTGCAGGTCGCTGGTAGACGCTGCGATATCTATACTTTCCTAGTCGCTGACGCTGTGGAACGCTCGCAACGCTCGTGGACGCTATTGGCCGCTGGTGGACGCCGCCGCAAGTATGAAGTATGTATTCTTGAGCGCTAGTGATCGCGTAGAGCTGGCACAAACAGTTCATCTCGTCGCAATCAGTGGGGGCGGTTCAAAACAGATGGAATGACCGCGGCGACTCCACCACTAATTGCTTTCTTTCTAAGCATTCACTAACCAGTTACCATTGCTTACCACTGGTAGAGCAAGGCAGCCGGAAGCGAACTCACTTCGCCCCTGCTGACACGCCCCAACTGATTGCGACGTTATAACTATAAATTACAGTGCGTTAGTCGCATAGAGATGTTGGTAGATCCTTTGTCGACTGCTCAGCAGAACTACGGAGCTTTTGGATTCTCAAGAAAGAGGATGTGTAAAAGCGTTTTCATTTCTTATGCATACCGTTGTGCGCTGTCGGCAGTACAGTTCTGGAGACGCTCATTTCAGGCAAAATCCATCGACCTTCGTCTTCATTCCAAACGGCGTCCTTTTTCACCTTCTCGAGATTGTAGTAGTTTGAATCCTGAGAGATATTATAGTGTATATTAGTGTATTTAGAAACTTGATTTCTCATTAATCCGGAGGATTCACCTTTTTTATTACGGGCTGTATTTTCTCCAGAATCTGCGTCAACAGCTTCAACTGCTGATCTTGCTTCCGGATAGTCTCGAGGTAGTCGAGCCGATCCAGTTCAAACTCTCCTTGTAAATCTTCTATTTCGCTTTCCAGGGCTTTTGACTGAAAATTGTGCAAAGTCAGTCGTCTGCAGGCAAAAGTCAATCAAGAAATCATTAACCACTGAAGTGTTGAAAAATACATCAGCCGAATTATTTTCTAGAGTTAAGCACGCACTGAAACGGTCACCCGAGACTAGTTACATATCATAAACCATCGCAGGTTACATTCGTCGCTTAGAAAATTGCGGAAACACGCCCCTCCCTGCACACTCTTGTGGCGTTGCCATCCCTGCTAACGTTCTCTGTACAATTCCTAGTATTCCCAGCAGTTGTCTAGAAACTTCCCGTTTTTACCTCAAATCGCCGGGTGGGAGGGAGAGGGGGAATTATAACACAGGTGAAATGAAAAAAGACAGCGAAAAATCAAGAACCGGAAAAAATTTCTCCGTGCACGGGATAATTTTCTTTAGTTCAGACAAGACCCCTTCAAAGCGACGAGCAAGTACGATGTAGGTGCCGCGCGTGAAACAGAAAAAAATCAGCTATCGAAAAAATTCTCAGGCGAATTACGACTCCATTATCTCCACTGACCGAATACGAATCCCGCCAAGGTTTCACCAGCGTAGCAGGTGCCCCAATTGTCGCTAAGGTCCTTAATCGAGATAGAAATAACGACATTCTTGCGGACTCTCTCTATCCCCTCCCCCGTCCCCTCTTTCAAACTTCCGCCTTCGACGCCCTCACAGAACGGAGTGTAAGGCACGATTTCGTACTCACGCGATTTTTCTCTCTCTGAAGCTCGGCTGTTACAGCATCCAACTTCTCCTGGGTAGAGCTGTAGACCTGTAGAAGCGGATCGTCCCTGTGCACATTCAAGGCGGCTGCAATATTGATGACTTAGAACTCAGAACAACATTCTCCTGTCACTGGAGCTTGTCTCAACAGCTTTCACAATAGCTAGAACTCAGAAGCTTCTGTTCTCAGATATGTGCAGATAGGCCCCGCTGCACAACCCACAATTTCGCTGCGAGCAAACTTGTGAGCTAGTCTGTCGTCACGGATTGGTCGCAGACTTTGATTGCATCTGGCCGTACGCGCCAACTGCGATTGCGCAGCGCTGCGGTTCCTTTCTGCACGACTTACCGGCGAGCCGCTGCATTTTCGTTTCAGCCTCCTTCAATTTCTTCGTTCGTTTCTGCTTCAGTTGTTCATTATCAGCCTGAAACAAGTGAGGCTTTTAAATTTTCATGTCCCTCGCCCTCGGCTCTAGAGCAGCGGCGCTAAATTCATTTCTCTAGAAGGTAAACGCTAGTGTTCCGAAAATGGCCAAAACATAGTTGGATAGTCATTTACCATTTCACCACCGACAAACTGCTGCTGAAGTTGCTGCAGTTTTCTAGCCGCCTCATTCGGATCCAAACCCTCCATTGTGTCGAGGTCGGAGTTTGCCTGAATTCAGTACACTCAAGCAAACGAACAGAAATAAAATAGGAGAACATGGATGTTTCTGGTATGTCTATTTGGTGTATTTATTTATGCGTGCAATGACGCGCCAGAAAGCATCACTCAAGCATATTGCTGAGCGTAATTCAGAGAAATACGTACTCGGGGGCATGGCGGGTCTGATAAGCGAGATGAACGACGTCTGGTGACCTATTCTTCTCATCTATACGAATAAACAGTCAGCCTCATATGTGGCTTATGCCTTATACAAACCTTTTCATATTGCTCCTTGAGCACTTGAAGCTCATGCGCCAACTCAGCTTTGCTCAACTGTTCTTTCCGATATTCTTCTCTGAAACAGATTTTGTTCACAGTAAGCATGACTCAAATTGGTTTTCCGATATTGAAATCGCCACCATTCTGTCTTAAAGCTCGGTTGATGTGTAGACGCCTTCATTGGACAAGGTAACCCAGTCCGCGAACGCGGGTCCACCATTTTCACTGCTCACAAATACGTGATAACTAAGCCACTCGCCACCATACTTTCGAGGAAGCGCATCGTCTACTACTACTCCTTATTACGGCCAGCGTCGGTTTCTGTCGGTGCGTGGTGGTGGCGGACTGTTTCCAATGTAGTCTCCCTCGTATTACGCATTGATGTTGAGGATGGATAAGATAAATGAAATTGATATCCCTATGATACCAAAAAGCAGGTCCTCTCTTTATTTTATACAGGCAAGAGCTCGAACTGACAGGGGTTCCAACTAGAGCATCTTGGAGAGAATTTCTTCTCTTTCCTTCAGTATCGAGCTTACATATAACTCTCCAGGAGTATTTCAGGCCGTAACAGTCTGCAGTCATTTAGTTGATCGGAGCACGTGCCTTCAAACAAAACATGTTTTTTTGGGCTCTACGGTTTTTACCGATTGCTCCCTAAAAATGATTTGATATTCTTCAGTATCGAGTTACTTATAACTTTCAGGAGTTTTCTAGGCCTAACTGCCGATCATTCGTGATGCTCTCTAAAATGTTGATACAACGGTATAGTATAGCCCCGGGCTGACCAAAAAGCTTCGGCGAACTTTTTTACAAACTGATGGTATGGAAAAAAAGAAGTCTTGTCAGTACCGTATATTATAGCATAGCCCTGAGGTTAGATTACTGTAAATTTAGCACTAACAGCGGCAAGAATCCACAAAGGACACTACAGGACTGCCAAGGACCCTACTGTTGTCCCTGATGCAAATGGTGGTTCAGAATATTGTGAGACTGACTCACACTTCCTGATACAATCAATTATCATTCCGAATTGGCAATGGGAACAGACCTCAGTTCAGTCATTGTCGCCTCGAGCTCTTCACGTAATTTCGCACGTTCAGCTTCGACATCAAATTGCGGGACAGGAGCTGCTGAAAACTTTCTGATCACGAGGATGAAGTGCCTTCATCTTCATGTGGTTAAATTAGCTTGCAGTAGTCTACAATTGACTTTAAGACGTCATTACTCAGTTCAGACCAAGAGTAATTTGCCCCTATCCCACAGTCTTCAGCCCTACTCATCCGAAATCTATCACCATCTTCCATATTTAAATGAATATGGACAAAATAGTTCACCATTTGCTCCTGGAGCAAGCATTGCCTTGAGTCGTTCAATCTCTTCTTGGTACTCTCTGAGCAACGCATCCTTGGGATCCTCGTTGATTTTCGGCTTGTTCTTGATATTTTTAGCACGATTCGCATATCTAAATGCACCGATCATGGTAAGTTAATAGTTATTTTTAATGCCATTCATGTATGGTGGAGGACTCTAGTCAATCAGATCCCGAAAGAGAAATCCTAATGCAAGAAAATGTTCAAAATCCTGCTTGGTTCTGTAACGAAGCCAAGGAGTCCATTGCACCTAGAACTTCAAGCATCCTCACTTATAAACGAGTAGCTGGTGATATCTGATGGTA